CCTTGTAAAATTTCATATTCAACCAAAGAAGAGTAGGTAGTTCGAAGATAGCATAAGAGAATTAGTCCTGGGGTCGGGGTGAAGTGGCGAACAACTTCAGATCTTTTGATGACCATGGCACACCTTGATGGTCATCTGTGTTGGAGCAGAAGAGGGAACATTAGGGCTTTTTAGTCAGTGAATTCCTCACCCTATGATCTTCCTTTGATTGCAATAACAGACGAGTGGATCGTTTGCGAAGAGATTATTTCCTCTAAATTTTCTCGAGGTGGAGGTTGCGCAAAGCCGATGTAAGGGCAAATTTCTTCGGACTATGAAGAGCTAGTTGGTTTGTTGATGGAATATTTGTACAAACTAGGCCATGGTGGTCTACAAACGGAACACGGATGGGCGAACTTCATGGGTCCATTTGGTCACGATGGGTGTGGCGCTAGCCGTGGTTGGTGCACATTGATGGTCTAATGGAAAGTGCAGTTTGAAGTGCACCATGGAGTAATAAGGAGGAATTGGGGCGAATAGATCCAAAATTCGCCAATATGACTACATAGACATTTTATCATAGTGCCCTCATGAGATTGAGATGTAGTTAGTAGCAAAGAACTACAATCAGGGGATGGAAGTTAGGGATAGAAGGATTTGTCACTAGGATATTATAGCCAAGAGTCCACTTTTGGCATGCATAGCGCTAAGAAATCATCCTATCCTATTTTCCTTTGGCGAATCCACCATCTCTGCCAATTATACTTCTTTATCAATTTTGTGCCTCCACTTTTCAAGTTAAATTTATTTATTCAAATATGGGCAATAGAGACGTACATCCGAGATACTATCCCCATAAATAATATTAGTCGTGGTTTTTTCCAAATTTCAACTACTATTCTTGGGCTATTGCTGGATTCGCTGCAGAAGTCCGCTTAAGGCGCTGGGCATTCTGTCGGCGCGCTAATACCTCTGGTAGACTACAGACGATAATCGCCTAAAATGCGAGTGCTATCATTGTTTAAATTTACATATTCTTCAGCACTCGTAGCGTAATATTACCGGTATGAAGTAAAATTTTCTAAGTGCCTACGAGTGTGTGCGCGTTTACGCATGCACGCATTTACACCAATACTTCATCCTCTTTCATATCTTCTTATTTCACTTTACATTTTCGCTCTTAACTCTGGTTATGTGCACTTCAGGTCTCGCGAATCGTTTGGATGAGTCCCTGGCCAAGTCGTTCTTAGTAAGCGCGGATCAAGCACATGCAGTCCACCCTTCCTGGCCTGAGAAACACGAGCAAGCTAACCGACCCAGGCTGCATCAGGGTATAGTTGTCAAATATAATGTCAACCAGCGCTACGCCACTAATGCTCTTACTGCTAGCCTGATCCGCGAAGTTGCTCGCCAGGTCAACGTGCCCCTTCAGGTGAGCATATTAATATTTTTAAGACCTTCTTCTATCCTCAAGCTCCTCAGGCTTGGTCTGGCTTTCAGTATATCTGTCATACTTCGAATTTTTAGTTAAAACGTCTTCGTGCTGTTTACGATCTTTCTTAACTGATCACTATTCATTCTTCTCTCGCCGTTTGTTGCAGTCAATTTATGTAAATACACTTTACTCATAATATTTTGACTGATCAGACTTTGTAATTATTAAATTTTCTCTTAATCTCGTGCCCGACGACGTTCACTCGATTGTAGTCTCTTGAAGTTGTGATACCTTGTAGAATATCTATGTCGACATCTGGCTTCGATTTTAAATTTAGTTTGAAACATCCAATTTGCTTCTTGATGACCTTTTCTTACAATGCCGTTATCTGGTATCTTATTTGTCTATTCGATAAATATGACCTTACTGCTTCCCTAATTCCTTTGTATTTCTAAGTAGCAAGCAATATTTTCGCTTACTCCTGTCCTTTAATCGTCATATTAATTGGATTTATTCGATTTGAGATGTCTACTACTCATCCTACCGTTCTTATTGTTTTTTCATATACATTTCACTGTCTCACTTGGCTTTAATTCGGCTTTGTGGCCAATATGATAGATTATTGATCTTATAAAATATGTATTCTAAAATTCCGCAAATCACTTTATGCTTTTTAGTATATCAATTATTTTTTCTGCCATTGGTATTACAATATTGAGAAATATGGTTTGATTCTGTTTCTCATATCGCTTGGTTGAGGTTGTCGGTATAATTTTATTTCACAATCATTGTTAGCTCGAAGGAGAGTATGTGTATTGGTTTTCATAAATTAGATTCTTTTATTTTTATCTTTAATAGTGTACTCAGTTTAAAGTTTATTTGTGCGAAGAAAAGTTAGGCTTCGAGGAATCTCTTGTTTCGTAATTGTTGAGCTTCCATTTCGAGTGATAGTATTTGGTGAAGAGATTCGAAGGTCGATTTCACCAGAAGACGACGGTGGATTTCTCTTGACCAGCTATAGATTGGCTCTACTGGAGCATC